TGACTTCACCAATTCCAAAAGGAAATCATCAACATGTTTGTGGTCAGAATTTTTTAGATTAAGCTGTATTAATAAGAATATTGAATGTAGAAATAAAATTTTTAAGTTAAAAAAAAAAAGAAAAAAGCAAATCAAATAGCATGAACTTCAAATTAGGAGAAATGGAAGAGGTGATGGGTACTTGATTTAAAATAGGTACTGTAGCCTGCATGGTGACATACAACCGTAGCTGTATCAGCTATTCTAGACTGAAGGAGGAAGATGACTTGGGGCCAGGATTCAGCCCGGGGAAAGTAGTGAGCCCCTGTTGAAAAAGAAGAGAACAGGGCTAAGGCTGTAGCTCAGTGGTATAGTAAGTGCTTAGCATGCACAAAGCCCTGAGTTAAGTCCCAACATGGGGGAAGAGGGAGAGAGAGACAGACAGAAAGAACTATGAGAGTCGGGAAGCCTGGAAAGCTTGACCAACAAATGTGCACAGAGAGTTGTTTCATGAACTTGGTGTTTTAGGAAGACCAAGATAGCAGGGCTGTGTAGAATGGGTTGTATATTGAGAAGAGAGTTCTCAGAGGTGGTGGAAACTATCTCAAGGGCCCCTTTGGCAGGTGGTGTGGCATATGTCAAGGTATTGTTATTAAGTTGTATAACTCTTGTTACTACATCCTTTGGGCCTAAATATACAAAAAAGCAGTATCTAACTCTTTTGCTAGAAATATGTGGTTCTTTATTCAGGTAGGCAATTTGATTGCCCTGCGGGACTGGAAAAATATGACTTGGTGAAAGAAGATGCTGTATTTTATAATCCTATGAAAAGTTTTTCTAACTGGAAAGACCTGTAGAAAATTTTCCCATCTTGTGTTACTTGACATATTTTTTTGTTTGTTTGTTTGTTTTATTTTGTTTTAACTTCTTCTTCATGGAGTTATCCTAAATTCCATCTAATAATTATGAATTTGTAGTTACAATTTTTGTTGTTACTCTGCAGTCTTTTCAGCCCCTCTCCACATTTCATATGCTATTTGTTTCTTCTTTACTTATTTTCCTCCATTTCTCTTAACCCCCAAAGATCCATTCCACGGCAACTTTGCCTTCAACGAGCACTTCAGTTAGATTGATCTTTTCTTTTTTTCAGAATTCCTACAAAATTCAGAATTTCATCATCTGTTCAACTTTATTTTTTCTGACATTAATTAAACATCTCATCATACTGCTGCTATAATATTTTACACTTTAAAGGTCTAACCTCCTAGATGGTGTGCACTATGTGTATTTTAATTATAAAAATAACACGGGCATTTGATTGAAAAGTCAAAAGGGTAGGAAGATATAAAATGAAAATTTAAACTCTCCCTCAATGCCATCCTCCAAAGTAACATCTTTTTAAACATTTGTGTTACTGTGTATCTCTCCTGTAAACCATCCCTAGCTCTAAACAATTCACTTAGAGTCCCAGTTTTTGATTTATAAACCTTAGATAGTGTGTCAATTTTTTGCTGCCATACAAAACAATCCCCCAAACAAGGTTTACAACATTTACTTCAAGCTTATGAGTCATTGGGTGCAGCTCTGCTGGACTTGGTCCAGTGTGGGTCTGTGTATCTTCTCATTTGGGGACTGAGATGAAGGAGTGGCCATTGTTTGGGGCACATTGTTTCCATGGCAGAGGGTCATAGCTCAAGAGGAGCAAATGTGATACTTTAGAAGGCCTCTGTTCAGAACTGGCCACTGTTACTTCCAACTGTTACTTCTACCTGTATTCTATTATTCAGACTAACACAAGGTCCAATCTTGAGTCAATGAATAAGAGCACTATATGTGCTCTACCAGGATGAAAGGCAAAAATCACACGATAAACAGTGTGGGTATATAATGTATTACAGAAGGGGAGCATAGAATTGGGGACAATTGAAGCAATGATCCACTTCACCATATACAAATGTCTGTTGAGTCTCACTTTTCAAAGATAAGGAATTGATTTCCTTAATATCCTGTTTCCCTCTTCTTGAAGTTTCTCAATTGTATTACACATAGTTCTTCTACTTTATGGCTTTAGATAATATAGATAAAATGTTTTCTCGATACTCAGCTTTAGATAAAATCTCTTATGAGTTTTTATTATTAAAATAAGGATATGCATATGTAACCCTTAGATTTTTATCTCTTTCCACCTCAAAGCATATCATGCCCACTGCGTTTTAACACTAAATTCAAGTCTTTAATGCCTTGAATACAAGTCAATTTAAGAAACTAAAATCCAATGAAGATCATTTATGATACTATCCTTGTGCACATATTATTTTTTACAAAACCAAGAAATGTAGTTGGAATGGACTTGTAGAAAAAGAAAATTGAAATTATCTGCTAAATATGTATAAATGAATATTTTAAAAACTGATATCAAATGGTTTATCATTCATGACACTCTACGTGTTGTTCAGAATCATGCTACACTTAATTTCTTTTATATGGGACTGTGCTTTTTGCTATAAAGCTTTTTGTTTCATGGAGTTTCTCCTTGTTGACAGGATTATCACACTACCTCTAAGTTCATAACAGCTTCTTAAATCGTACTTATTTGCTGAAGCGAATCCAGTTTCCAGTTTCTTATCTCCAAGCCTTCTGATTACTTGTTTAATTTGAACCAATTGCCTTGATATTTACTGCCCAGCCAATTAGCCTGGAGGTTCTTTTTATCGCTGTTCTGAGTTGTGACCATTATTTCCTGGATTTTTTTATCTTCATTTTTTTTTAAATTTCTATTTTCAGTTTCACTCAACTGTTTGTTTTTTTTTTTCAAAAAAGGAATTAAATGTTGAACCTTTTCAGTCTGACTTGCAGACTGATAAATTGGCTGGGACATAGAATTCTATGTCCCAGGCCACTTTCTCTTTCTACTTTGAAGGCATCGTTCCATCGTATTCCTGCCTAAAGCTGGAAAATCCCAAAAGCCAATATGATTCTCATCCCTGTGCAAATAAGTTGTTTTTCTCTCATAAAGCTTTTAAAAGTTTTCTCTTTGACATAGTGTACTGAAATTTCATAAGAATATAAAAGTTCACAATGAGTTCTTTTTAAAAAGCAGTTTTAACCAATTAGAATTTTTAAATATCATGTTACATGGTCTATAGTGTTGAAGACATGGGGGGAATGTACAAAAGGAACACAATAATATTTCAAAGAGTTTCAATCCAAGGACATTTATAATCTAGCTAAAGAATAAACAATTAGGTAGTCCTTATGAAATGAATTCTTAATTAGCCAAAGTGAGTTCAGACATTTATTTTGTGTCTGATGATATAATGTAGGGATTCCACCTCTTGGGTCCCCTTCTTCCTCCGGGAAAAGTCTTTTCTGCTGTCCTTTAATAAACTTCTAATTTCTACTCTGACCTTGCCTCGGCGTGCTTTTCTGGTGTTATTCTTCAACATTGGGGAAGCAAGGACTCGTCACTGGCCAACAGCGGTAACATATTGGAGGTCCCAGACCTGATTCTTCTACACCGAGGTAAGTGCCTCTCCACGCACCCCATGTCTGTCTGAGGTGCATCTTTCTCTTTCTTTCTGGAGGGGAAGGTGGGCACCCGACGGCTACTTAAACGCAATTAGTGCAGCCACCACTCTTCAAGACTCGGGTGAGATGTTTCCTGGCCTAGGCAGCTCTCAATCACCTGTTCGGTACAGAGCAGGCATGTTGGGTTCTGCCAAAGTCGCTTCCAACTTTTCTGTCTGGGCCCCGAGAGCAATTGGCATGAGTACACAGTGTCCCGAATCCCGGTCTGCCTCGGATTGCGTGGAGGTGGAGGAAGGAGTTTGGAACAACTGCGGAATTCCGGTCTGGGCTACACTCAGACATATTCCTAAAGTTCCTTTCTCTTGAGACCCTCCCGACAGCTCTCAAGGGTATCTAGGGTGATCGGTAGATGAATGGCACTGAGGGAAAGCCCCAATCACATTTGCTTCCATTTGGGCTACGCAACACTCCCAACCCTGCATCCATTCCTTCTTGGATGCTCTCCTTCCTTCGCAGGTCAGAGATGATATAATGTATAATATATTCCCTCTCTCTCTCTCTCTCTCTCTCTCTCTTTTCTTCTTCTTGTTTTTCTTCTCCTCCTCCTCCTCCTCCTTCTTCTTCTTCTTCTTCGGTACTGGGGATTGAACTCAGGGGCACTTGACCACTGAGCCACATCCCCAGCCAAATTTTGTATTTTATTTAGAAACAGGGTCTCACTGAGTTGCTTAGTGCCTCACTTTTGCTGAGGCTGGCTTTGAACTCATGATCCTCCTGTCTCAGCCTCCTGAGCCACTGGGATTACAGAAGTACGCCACCACGCCTGGCTTCATTTTCTCTTTTTGATTTGTTCTGTAACTTGATCACATCGTCAGTAAGCTTCTTGGTGAACTTGGTTTGTCTTCTTAAGTATTACTATATTTTCCTTTAGGATCATAAAAATTCCATACCAAAACATGGCCATTTTTAATTTTTTCCTTGTGGCTACGTGCCTAGAAGTGGTCTAAGACCACATTGCTCCTATAGCAGTGTATGAGAACATGATCTTTCAAAGTAGATGGAAATAAATGAGATATGGTGAGAAATATA